TGCGTGGGAAAAAGGCAGCCATTCCGAGCAACACATGGTAGCTCAGAAAACAGACTACCTCAGTGATGATTTGTGAATTGCGATAAGCAATTTCTGTAGTAGATACTTCGCTAGTTCTGGCAGCGTAAGTAGTAACCGTACAAAATATTTCTTCTGAGTAATTTGACTGTATATTCGCCCTCATGCTTAAAGCATTAACGGAAAGTAGCCGAGAGCAACAGGGCACAATGCTGACCAGAATAGTGGTCGTGTAGCGCACCGCTTAACCTGCCTCTTTGTGTAGTTTTATACCGCTGTTGTTGGTTCAGGAAGATTTAGTGAGAGATTGCGAATAGGAGGTTCTGAGGAAAACATTTTTACAGGCTGATGATATCAGCTGTTAACAACAACCGGCTCTACTTAAACCTGAACATGGCTTGATGCAGAATATATGCAATTGGTAGCAGCTCACTTGGTATAAATCGAAAGACCGTTTGGTTCACTATACTAAATCGGCGAGTTACTCCATTTTTCCTCATGGTCGCAGCGATACAGTAGATCGAGTACATCAATTTGACAGTTGCGCATTATCTTATCTTTGCAAATTTTTCCATCATGGACTAAATACAAATTGAAGGGGCATGTGATTGTTCATAACATGATTTTTAATAATCTGATCGACTATATTTCTACCTTTCGAAGATTGAAGTTTGTCGGTCTGATTATTGTCGATTAAATCATCGTGATTAGCATCAGTATGGAATTGATGCTTGTTTGTACTATTCAATTTGATATTTTCCACAGTTATTTATTCAGTCATCAAGTTTCGATGGCCAATTATCTTTTCAAGTCACGGAGACAAATGCATCACAGACAGTATCCCCAACGTTCATGATCCTGCGTCAGCTTCTAATCTTTGGCAAAAAATAACCCCAATCTGTAGCAGGGTCCTTCGAGAAAATTTCCCAGAATATTCTTCCCGTCCGCGAGGTTTTCATCCGGTCGTTTGAACAAATAATAGCAGTTTTCCTTTCCTTTCCGCAATCATTCTCAAAACCTATTCAACAATTGGAGCTGTATATTTACATTACACAGCAGCAGCGAGTCTGTCGAAGAATCTTGTAAACAAAGAGTCCATCGAATATGCGCCAGGTTTTGTAGAAAGGCGCGAGTAGAGCGATGCATTTTTTACTCATTAAATTAATTTAATTTGCATAGTAGTTTGGACTACCTTTTAGCAATATTAAAAATTTGAATTTTCTTCATTGACCATGAGTTAAATCGAAAGTTCTCT